AAAGAGTGGACGGATTCAGGACTGGTCTTGCAGGTGGACATGACTTAACTCGGACAGAGTGCTTCTTGAATGAATTTCCCACCAGTCACAGATTGAAACTTACAGAAAAATACAATAAAATTCTAGGTAGAGACTGTTTCCAGGAGACACAACTAAAGTAGTGATCTGTTTGTCAGGAGAGGCCTATGGGTGTTTTTTGTCTGTGCCAGTTCTGTCGACGTCCCAGGTTGGCTCAGAAAACCAGCTGGCACTATCTAACAAGGAAAATAGATTGTTTTCAGCTTTGATTTTGGAAATATTTCTACTTCAATAGAAGGAAACTCAATTCAAAAAAAGGAAAGAAGCTTCAGAATGAGGTGAAGAGTAGCACTGTTGGGACCAGCAGTTAGCATAATGGCTATGTCGCTGGACTCCCTTATAGTTGACCGCGGTTCATGTCCTGGACCCGGTGGCTTAAAACTCACACTGGGCACATGTGCATGCATGCCTAAGATCCCGAGAGGAGAATGGAGGAGAAGTGATTGCGGTGTGGCCATCCCCCTGGAGGGATTTCTCGCTTTATGTCTCTCTGTCTCTCTCTGTCTTGTCTGTCTGGTGAGCGCATGCGCCTTATAGCAAAAACCTCCCCCCCCAAAAAAAAAAAGAGTAGCACTGTTTATGACTAGTGAAGAAGTTACAACCTCCGTAAGTTCAAGCCCTGTGGGGATAGCTCTCCTTCTTGTAGGCATCCCTCTGCTCAATAGCACCAAGCACGCCGAGGGGGCACTTGTGACAGTGTCCCCACTGGCTCCCCGCAGGCTGTCTGACCTGAGGAGGGAGACTCCTCATCTTTTATTCCTCTCTGAGCTCCTTCCACTCCGCACAGTTGGTGCTGGCATGGACTGTCACATGGGGGTGAAGACTAAATAAATGACGAGCACCTCGACACAACAGAATCCCGTTAGTTTTCAGGGATTGGCATCCAGCGCATCTGGCACTCACAGAGAATCACAGCAAACACAGAGGGACAAAGCATGATAAATGCTGACTACGGTGCCCGCATGCTTTTCTGTAAACTGGAGAAACATGAAAACCTCGCGGGAGGCTTTGTCGCCATTCTTACATAAAACACTTACTTCTCAACTTTCAGTAGACTACAATGAAAGAAATCACATTTTTGTTCAGATGTTAAAAGGCCAATCAGTTTTGTTGTTTAACTGCTAGAAGGCTGAGAGCCACGTATTGGCCTGGCCCTAGCAGCAGCAAAGCCCGAAGACGATGCATTCTGCACACCAACTTATTCCTGTCTATATCTTATTTTCTTTAACAATTTACTTATTTGAAGAGATTTTTGCTATAGGGCACATGTGCTTGCTGGAAAGACAGAGACAGAGAGACAGAAAGCATGAAATCACACCCCCGCCCCCAGGGAGGATGGCTGAGCGCCAATCCCCTCCTCCATTCTCCTCTCAGGACCTTGGGCACGCATGCACATGCACTGGGTGTGAGTTTTAAGCCGCTGGGTCTGAGACTCAAACCATGGTGGGCCACATGGGAGTCTAGAGCTCAACCACTACACTACCTGCTGGCCCTAATGCTTTAATTATTTTTAAAAAATCTTGTATGTAGGTATATGTATAAATATAAACCAGTTATAAGACCTCCCATTTCTTATTCTCTATTATCCTTCCCTTTGTTCTTTTTCTCCTTAACATAGTCCACCACCTAATGTATTATAGATTGCATTTATTTTCTTCATTTTCATCTTTCTCTTCTCACTAGAATATGAACTCCATGTGAACAAGCTCTTTTCCCATTTCATTCACTCCCGTATCCTCATAGCTTAGAACAGTGCTGGGGGGCCAGCAGGTGGCATGGTGATTAAGGGCGCTGGACTCCCACAGGGCCGACCATGGTTTGAGTCCCGGATCTAGCAACTTGCTTTCTCACTTTCTGTCTTGCTCTCTGTCCCTCTCTGGTCAAAATTGAAGTAAATGAATGAGTAAATAATAAATAAAGTTAAATATAATAATTTTTTTTTGTTTTTTTCATTTGGAGAGATTTTTTTTGCTATAGGGCGCGTGTGCTCGCCAGAGAGAGACAGAGAGACAGAAAGCAAGTAATCACCCCACAGGGGGGATGGCCACACTACAATCCCTTCTCCATTCTCCTCTCGAGATCTTGGACACGCACACACATGCGCCAGGTGTGAGTTTAAGTCACCAAGTCCGAGACTCAAGCTATAGTCAACTACGTGGGACTCCAGCGACATAGCCATTATGCCAACTGCTGGTGCCAAAATAATTCTTTTTTTAAAAAAAAAGGAAAAGAAAAGAACAGTGTTGAAGAAGGTTCCACATGACTCCTATGAACTAGGCAGAAGAGGCCAGGCCTTCAGAAGAAGGTTCCACATGGCTCCTGCGAACTAGGTATTTCAGGGCACACGAGAAATGAAGATTTTCTACTGATAATTGAGCCTCCAGCAAACAAGCTAGCAGATTAAAATATTCCTCAGTATCTGAATCTGCTGCACTAGCGATCACAACAGAACGGCAAAGAGATTCTAGATCACCTCTGTCTGCTTGCTCCTGAACATTCAGACTGAACTTCAAGAATTTGAAAGAAACACACCATCCATAAGATGACAAGAAATCACCACCGGATCACAAGGAATATGGGAAAACAAGAAAATACCTCTCCTCCAAGAGAAAAGAGTAACTCTTCTTCATCCACAAGCAGTTTGGTGAAAATCATGGAAATGTCTGATAAGGAATTTAGAGCATTCATAATGTCGAAGCTAACAGAGATGGAAGAGAAGAGAGATAATGAACTGCTAAAGAGAAAGGAGAAAGAAGTTGACGAGTTCCAGGAGATGAGGAAATTCTTGCAAGAACTAAAAGAGGAATTACACACTTTACAAAAGACTCAAACGGAACT